AAAAGTTATCCAAAAAACACAAATTTGTTTACATACTACTAAGTATGTTATAACTTAATTAAACTTCATCACCTTATAACACTTATATCAACTCTTAATTTCAAAAGTTGTTAAAACATAAATGTTGGTCGGCTAGCCTTTTTACCCTGGCCTAAATTCTAGATTAAATTTGCTCAAATTTTAGGTTTTAACTCAAACTTATTTTAGGTTTTAACTCAAGAATGAGATAGTCTTAGTGTAGGACAATGTCATTGTCGTATCTCAATTATGTGTCATGTTCTTCGCGCAACCATGTCCCTTGCTCATAGGCTCAAACCACCACCATCACTACCACCATGGCATCAACCATTTAGTGTAGGACGATGTCATTCCATCACTACATGTCAAGCTCGTCGGACATAAGAGTAGAGTTTTGTCCTTTCTAGTGATGGAATTGATTCATTTTGGTTTGACTTTTTAGCTAAAATGGTCCCTAAGATTTGAAATCAATGGAAGTGGTCCCTGAGTTTGTTCACCATCAATTATATTGGTATTTTCTTGAAAAAAATTATATTAAATAGGACCCAAATGACAAAAATACCATCAATTTAATAAACAATAGGCCAGATGATTTGACAAAATTGAGAGTATTTTTGTTATTTTAGCCTTATTTAATGGAGATTTTTCCATTGAATGACCAAAATGATTGATGGTGGACAAACTCAGGGACTACTTCTATTGATTTCAAATCTCAGGGACCAAAGTAAGAGTTATACAAACCTCAAAGACTATTTTGGCTAAAAAGGTTTCTCGTTTATGAGAATAGGTGATGCGGAGGAGAGAAAATGAGGTAAGAGAGAGGAAGGAAAAAGAGTTGACAAACAACATTGTTTGTACCATGTAGCAAGCGGTTTCTTTGTTCTTTATTTTCCAAAACACTTTTTCTCAATCGTTATATGTATTTAATGGTCAAGATGGTGAATGCATTCAATACTTAGGGCATGTTTACCAACCCGTAATCAGAATGAGAATAAGGAATCTGATTCCAATTACGGATTATGCATGTGTTTACTAAAATTAGAAGGAATAAAAAAATGCATGGGACCCACACAAAAAATGGAATTCAATTCCTGGGATTGGAGGAATTGGACTCCCTCTATGTATGTGGTAATTGAATCGGGAATACATTTGCTCTTAGAGGAATTGGACTCCCTTTATGTATGTGGTGATTGAATCGGGAATACATTTGCTCTTCCTATTATGCCCTTTTATCAATCTGTCGTTTAACCCAACAAATTAATCTCACGAGCTTGAATTCCGGTTGGGTGAGGGAATTGGAAAGCTGATAGGTTCAAGAGATCTATTGGTTGCATACGAGATCTCATCCCCAAACATTGGATCGCCATCGTTCAGGAGGCGATGAATCAACTGCTTCAACACCGCCGACAAGCATTCACGGACGTAGCTTCGGGACGATGACGTCAACGTCAGTATCTCACGGACATGCTTCTCACTCGCAGGGCCCTCCTCCTGCAACATTGATGCGAGAATTATACGCACACAAATTAAACCCTCTTTTTGTCAAATTGTAGTAAAGATGTAAGTAGGGATCGTTCTAGACCGGGGATTAGGAGGGATTGTTAACCACTTGGATTTGAATTCAAAAACGTAAAAACAAGTTTAAAATACTATACTAAACTCGAAGAATGCAAAACTAAAAGTAAGAAAGATTAAGACTAAAACTTAAACAAAATAAAGGGGGATTGGATTTGGACGAAATTAAACTAAAATGGATAGAATGTAAAGAAACAAATTGTAAATACGGATTTGACGGAAATGAGTGGATGGGAAGCTAGCTAAGGGGTTCATCTCCACACATGTTATACTTGCATAATAAAAAGATTTCTAATTGCATTTCAATAAACCATGAATTCTCAACGCCCCGGGTTAATTAGGTCCGCTTAAATTAACCGTCAAGTTTTCCTTAAGTTAATGAATTGGATGATTGCATACGACAACCCAAAGCATTCCTCACAAGTTCCCTACATGAATTGCATAATAGAGATACAAGCAAGAATCATTAAGCATCATGAAAACTATAAGTGTTGACGAGGCATTCGTTACTATGATTGCATGAAACTTATGCCAAGAATTTGTTTAACGCGATTGTTTATAAGCAACCTCCACTACTTGTGAATATAAGTTCATAACTATTACGTGAAACTCCCTTATATTCTAGCGTCATATTCATGCATGAAAATTAAGTGTGCATTCTCAATAAACATACATAAATAGGTTATCAATCAAATAGTTAAACAAATTGAATTCACAACTTATGAAATGCAATTAGAAGTAATCAAATCAAAATGCAAGCATAAACATATATTTCGAATCCCCCCTAGCTAAGGGGGGTTTAGTTCCTCATACGTTCAAAACAAAGAGAATTGAAATTAAACATTGAAATCAAAGAAACGCCTAAACATTCCAACAACTCAAACTTGAATTGTATGAACGTTTAGGCCCTCTTCTCTTCCTCTTCGTTGTAGCATAAGGTCTAAGGATAGTTTGATGGTGTGGATGGTTTGGGGAGTGGTAGAAATGGAAGTAATGGAGGAGAAGTGGAAGGGAAATGGAGAGAAACTCACGGCTAGGGAGAAGATGGAAGTGTTTGTGGTGTGTTGTGTATGAAATGAGATGATGGAATGGGGAATGAATGAATGATTGCAAGGGTATTTATAGGAGGAGTGGAGATGTATATGGCTATTTGTTTAAGGTGTTTGTGGTTGCAATGATGAAGAATTGCATGTGGAAATAAAAGGGAAAATGTGGTGAAATGATGAAGTAGGAAGGTGGAAATGCATGTGAGATGTTGGAAAGGAAATGGGAATATGAGTAGGCCATGGCATGGGAGTTGTTTTGTTGGTGTAAATGTGCCATGGTTGCAATGATGAAGAATAAAGGGTGCATGTGGGGTGGAATTGAATGAATGCAAAGTGAATGAATAATGAAATGAGTTAAAGAGGGAGAATGTGGTGAAATGATGAAGTAGGAAGGTGGAAATGCATGTGACTTGTTTGTGGAATAAAGAATGAATGGTGGAATGATGAAGAGTTGCATAAAGAATGCATGTAGGGTTAGCTAGGTTGGCTTTGTTTGGGTGCATGTGTGTTAATGGTGGTTTTGCATGTGAATTGATGGATTGTTTTTTATGGAATGGATGGTTCTTTGCATGGCTTTTGAAGTGATTGTGGGCTTTGGAATTGGAAGGAAATGCATGGCCTTGGGGTTGGTTTAAGAGAGAATGGGCTAGGCCCTTTGTTTTATGTCCAAAATGAATACAAGGCCTTCAAATTCGTCCAACACTTTGGCTCCAATCATATGCTATCCATTCCAAGCCCAATTTTGCTCCAAAATGCTCCAAAATGCATCTTTTTGCTTCCTTAGCCATATGAACCTAAAAACACACGAAAATGGCTTAAACTACTAAAACAACTATGAATTAACAACATAGATGCACAAAAACAAGCTAAGTAAGTCGCCTAAATATGCTCTTATCAAACATCGCTTTGACGATTGTGACCTCAAGGTCTAGGGCCAAATTGCTCGTGTGTCTGGTCTTGATGGCTTAGTTCTTTCTGTTTCTGGGTTTTTTCTTCTGCAGGGAGGAAGATGAATGTGGCTGGGTTATTTCTTTGGCTTTTATACAATAGTGGACATTTAACTCTTTAATTTAACTAAATAACTAAAAATAAGTAGTTAAATATTTTTAAAAATAAATATAGAATAAATAAAACAAAAAGGGTATTTTAGTAATCATATCAATTTTTATTCCGATTTAAGTGAATTAGCAAACAACTTCTATGAATTCAGTTTCATTTCTATTCCGATTCCTGAACATTTAAGTAAACAGTTTCAACAGGAATCTGATTATGACTCCTCTTCACTTCAGTTCCTCCTTAATCCAATTCCTCATATTTTGATTACGGTTACATAAACGAGCTCTTATATGTATTCTAGTCGGATCCATAATTTGGAGGTTTAGGTCTCCGTACTCTTATTCCAGTTGGGGTTGATTGGGGTCAGCTTTAGCAAAGGCCCATTAATATAACTGGCAAATGTTAAAACCCAATTTCAGGAATGGGCTTGTTTGTTGTTACCAAACGGGCTACATACGCAGACCTTTGTATAAGAACCCAACAGGGTATTAGCCCACTTTGGTAAACAAATAGCCATTTCATTCATTAATAAATAGTTGAGGAGGTGTTGAGGTGTGGCTGCTCCTTTTTCTTTCGATCGGTTGAAATTTTCGATTAAGTTTCAATTAAACTTACAATGGTGTGGCATATCCCTTTGTAAGATTTTCATCGTACCTTTTAAAAAACAAACATATACAAATTATGATTCGCATTCAAACAAACGAGGTTGGTCAAATTCAATTATCATTATCTTGTTATATTTGCGCATATTCGATCTCAACTATTGAATTTAATGAATTTACAAACTTGGTTTTAAAAAAAAAAAAATTGAATTTGACCGTTGGTTGACAGTTCAACCACGTGGGCCGTCCGATAAAAAAATAATCGTTGGCCTTTCCTCGGTCGACAACATCAGCAACTAGATCCTAACATTGGGTCTCATGCACTAATCTTGGCTCATTGTATGGGCTAAATATGGCCTGAAAATAAGACCCAAAACATTTTTTTACCCCAATAATTGTAGAAACTTTGGATGAGTTTAAAACTTAAATTTTAAATTTTATCTCAACCATTGGAGTTGTTTTAAGTCCTAAAAAAAAACTTGTGATATACCTTGGCCTGGAAGGGGTGGCCTCCCACTATTCATTTACTTTTCTTTATTTTGGCAAAGGAAACAAAAGAAATTTTAAACTGATATAATCCTCCCAAAATCGTATATATTAGGAAAACAATTTCACTAAATCTTTTCCCTTCCCCTTTTCAAGACATATTTTCCTCTGATATAATTTATGAATTAATGGCCTTGGCCCTGAGGGCTGCCAAACGCCGCCGTTTAGAGGGGAATAATCACGGTGCGCATCTCCACATTTTTCTAGCATTGCTGCTTTCTTCCACAGTTCCACTCGCAGACCAAAAATCCCTAAATTAAACCCCCCGACTCTTCAATTTTCCCTCTCCTCTTTCTCTCTCTCTCAGTTATTTACACAAACACCTTTCGCTCGCATTCAAAATCTCCGCACATCGCATAAACCCTAGTCCCCCCCCACCTAACCAAAATCTAGATACTGCGAGAGCTCCATCCCAACAATGGAATGGAACCCCGAAACCCTACAGCACCTCTCTCAGTGCTTCCTCCACACCCTCTCTCCATCCCCGGAGCCTCGCCGCCGCGCCGAGGCTTCACTCTCCGAGGCATCCCTCCACCCCAATTACGGCCTCGCCGTCCTCCGCCTCGTCGCCGAGCCCACCGTTGATGACCAGATCCGGCAGGCCGCTTCCGTCAACTTCAAAAACCACCTCAAGGCGCGATGGGCTCCCAACGCCTCTTCCGACGAGACCCCCATCCCCGACGCCGAGAAGGACCAGATCAAGGGCCTCATCGTCTCCCTCATGCTCTCCGCGACACCCAAGATTCAGGGGCAGCTCAGCGAAGCCCTAGTCCTCATTGGCAAGCACGATTTCCCCAAGTTGTGGCCCGCTTTGCTCCCCGAGCTCATCTCCAGCCTTGGGGCGGCTTCGCTTGCTGGCGACTACGCCTCCATTAACGGTATTCTCGGCACTGCCAACTCCATTTTTAAGAAATTTCGTTATCAGTACAAGACCAATGATCTTTTGCTTGATTTGAAATACTGTTTGGATAATTTCGCCGCTCCCCTTTTGGAAATTTTCATGAAAACTGCAAACTTGATCGAGTCTGCTGCTAATTCCGGAGGGTCTGCCGTGGTGCTTAAGCCCCTTTTTGAGTCACAGAGATTGTGCTGTAGGATTTTCTACTCATTGAATTTTCAAGAGTTGCCTGAGTTTTTTGAGGACCATATGAATGAGTGGATGACTGAGATGAAAAAATATTTAACCACTAGTTATCCAGCGCTGGAGAGTAGCGCTAATGGGCTTGCACTGGTCGATGGGTTGCGTGCAGCTGTTTGCGAGAATATTAACCTTTACATGGAAAAGAATGAGGAAGAATTTCAGGTGTACTTGAATGATTTTGCGCTCGCTGTCTGGCAATTATTGGTGAATGTGTCTCACGTGTCGAGCCGTGATCAGTTGGCTGTTACAGCTATTAAGTTCTTGACCACAGTTAGCACAAGTGTGCATCATAATCTTTTTGCTGCTGAGGGTGTGATACCACAGATTTGTCAGGGCATTGTGATCCCTAATGTGAGACTGAGGGAGGAGGATGAGGAACTATTTGAAATGAACTTTATTGAGTTCATCAGGAGGGATATGGAGGGTAGTGATCTCGATACTAGGAGGAGGATTGCATGTGAGCTTCTTAAAGGGATCGCTAGCAATTATAAACAACAGGTTACCAATTTGGTTTCTCTACAGATACAGAGTTTGCTAAGCTCTTTTGCTACAAACCCAGTTGCGAATTGGAAGGATAAGGACTGTGCTATATACTTGGTTGTATCGCTTGCTATTAAGAAGGCTGGTGGTACTTCTGTTTCGACTGATCTTGTTGATGTTCAGAACTTTTTTGGGACGGTAATTGCTCCAGAATTGCAGAGTCAGGATGTCAATGGGTTTCCGATGCTCAAGGCCGGTGCACTGAAGTTTTTCACAATGTTCAGGAATCACATACCAAAGCCTATGGCATTGCAATTTTTTCCAGATTTGATTCGGTTCCTTCGTGCAGAGTCAAATGTTGTTCACTCTTATGCTGCAAGTTGTATTGAGAAACTTTTGATGGTAAAGGACGATGGTGGAAGACCAAGATATACTTCAACAGATATTTCTCCTGTTCTACCACAACTGATGAACAATCTCTTTGAGGCCTTGAAGGTTCCAGAATCTGAGGAAAACCAATACATAATGAAGGGTATTATGCGAGTTCTCGGGGTTGCTGACATATCGTTTGAGATTGCTGATCCTTGCATTAAAGGGTTAACATTACTACTCAACAAAGCTTGTGAAAACCCCAAGAATCCAATATTTAACCACTATCTTTTTGAGTCGGTGGCTGTTCTTGTGAAGCGTGCATGTGGGAAGAATGCCTCTCTAATATCACTTTTTGAGACGAGCCTATTTCCCAGCCTCCAGAAGATACTAGGGGAAGATGTGACCGAGTTCTTTCCTTATGCATTTCAGCTGCTTGCTCAGCTAGTTGAGTTGAATAACCCGCCAATCTCACCGTCTTACATGCATATTTTTGAGATACTTTTGTCCCCTGATTTATGGAAAAAGGCGTCTAATGTTCCAGCTCTTGTGCGTTTGCTTCAAGCATTCCTTTACAAGGCACCCCATGAGCTCAACCAAGGGGGGAGGTTGCAGCAAGTGCTTGTGATATTTAATAAGCTTGTCTCAGCTCGTAGCACAGATGAACAGGGTTTCTATGTGCTAAATACTATTATCGACAGCCTTGAGTATAATGTGATTGCGCCTTACATTGGTGGCATTTGGAGTGCCCTTTTCACGGTGCTCCAAACCAGGCAAACAGGAAAGTTTATTAAGTCTCTCTTGATTTTTATGTCACTCTTTCTGGTCAAACACGGCTCTCAAAACCTTGCGGATACAATGAATGCTGTTCAGGGCAACATATTTCAGGTCATCTTGGTGCAGTTTTGGATATCCAATCTTAAGCTTATTACAGGAGTCATTGAGACTAAGTTGACTGCTGTTGCATCAACCAGACTTCTATGTGAATCTCCAGCACTTCTGGATGCCGCAGCTGTTGAACACTGGGGGAAGATGCTGGACAGCATTATGACCCTTCTTTCGCGGCCTGAACAGGACAGGGTTGAAGAGGATCCAGAAATGCCTGATATTGCTGAAAACGCAGGTTACTCTGCCACCTTTGTTCGTCTTCACAATGCTGGGAAGAGAGAGGACGACCCTCTGAAAGATATAAAGGATCCAAAAGAATTTTTGGTAACTTCATTGGCTGGGTTTTCCAAACTTTCCCCTAACAGATACCCTCAAATCATCAGTCAGTATCTTGACCCAGCCAATCAGGCAGAACTAGGTCGTCTATGTGAATTTTATAATTGCCCGATTGTTTGAGTGGTGAGTATGCATATAAAACATTCTTGTTCTCTTAGTTATGCACCATCCCTACTATTTTCTATGGATATGCATGCACATGTTTTAATTACAATATGGAATTGTTTGTAATATATTTATATTGTGGTAATAGTTGGTGAGTAAACATGTGATACACAATTTTTCGTTTTTTGGTGGGGGTGGGGGTGGGGGTACATATGTTCTGACACAGAAAGGATGTTGGCTAGTTATTTGTTACTCAGCATTGAGTTTATCTTGCAGTTTGATCGAAATGTATTGGGCTAGATAAGAAATTATCTAATCATATCTTCTCTGTCATATGCTCTTCTTCCCTTGGATAAATTTTTTGTATCTAAAAGATGTTTTGTCTATTGGAATGCTAAAATAACGGCCTAGGAAGACATCTTGTTTAGGTAATTGTTATGAGTAGCTTTAATATTTGATTCGTGCTAAAAATACTGCCACTGGTAAACTACAGAGTAGAAGTTGGATGGTAAGGAAAAAGTTATTACTTGTTTGGGAACATTTATTGATTAAAAGTGTAAAAAAAAATAGTTGTTGAAATTGAATGGTGAATCTGGGGTATTAGCCGTAACTGGGACAGGTTTGAACTTTGAGTATTGCCAAAAACTGGTTTGCTCATGTTGTGACTGGAGGAAAGCAATGGCCTTGGGACTCTTAGCCAGTTTTGGCTATACGTTTGTGAAAAGCTGCATTGTCTCAATTTTCTTTCTGTACTAGAGGGTCTCCAGAGTTGATGTTTAGTCCTTGTGTGTTCAATGTTCAAGGGGTTTCCTCAAGTTACAGTGAAAGTTTGGTTGGTTTAAGCTCTTGCTGTATTCGTTTCTATTTCTCAATCTAGGCATGCTAGCACTACATGTCAAACCTGCGAGTGAGTGTTAGCACTATTTTGCATCTATGAATTTCCTCGCTTCCCTGTTTGCATATCTTACCTTTGACTATTAATTCTACTGTAATTGCTACTTTTTGGTAATGATACCTTTGTTTATCATCTCATGTATTTTCGTGTTAGTGGCATATATGTTATATTGCTGTATAACTTAACCTCCTATGTTAGTCGAGTAACTGCTCAGATTTTCCTACAGTTTACCCCCTTCAGATCTTTGTTTTATATTTTATTTTGTTTCTGTCTAATCCGAATATGATTAATGCCACAACATTCAAGAAATCATCTAATTTCATGTGTAAACTTGCAGGATTTCACGTGGCAATGAAGGTGTGGGCTTTCATTTGAAGTTTCAACGAGTCTTGGTCAGCATACATATGTGAGCAACCTGTACTGCCTTGCAGTCTCCAGGTTTTGATGATTGTCGTCTTCATCTCTGCAACATTTAAGATCTTGTGCAGAAATGATGTGAGATTTTTTGTTACACTTGTCCTGAGTCGATCTACCATGACGGCGAGCACCCAGTTACCTAGATTCTAGTGTTGCAGTCCTATGTCCAAGTCATCATGGATACGTCTTTGCCGCACCCCGTCCTGTGTCAGCATGCATTTGTCTAAATTATGGTAGATCTGTATTGTTGTCATGTAAGTCTGTTTTTGTTGAATATTTCCATTGCATGTATGCATATTGTTGCACCTTTGTCTTTCCCAAAAGAAGAAAAAGGAATTGTTGCGTCGTCGATATTTCAGTTCGTGAAATCCCTGGTTGGTTAAGTGAATTAAGGTTTTAGCATTACCCCTATGAAGTTTTTTTTGTGGTGGGAGGGGAACCCGGAAGTTTTCAGGTCTGAGGAAGAAGATGAAGCTTTTCTTCGACTTTGTCGGTGTCGAAGGAAGGAAGGTTTTTAATGGACGCATGCTGGCAGCACTTGTGCAATGTACTTTTTAGTAACATATGGAGAGTACACAATAAAGTGTGCAACATGTTTGTTCGTATATACGACGTTTATTGTTGATATAAAATGTCGTCTTTTGCTAAAACACAGTGACCTACTTATAATCGAGCACTAAACCCCTGTTGGATTTGCTAATTTAACTAAACAAATATGATTCCATTGACATCATGCATACGACGTGCCCGTGTAAGATATAGAATTGTATAAAGGGAAATTATTTTTTCGCTCTTCATTTATGGTCATCGAATTAAATAAATTAAATAGAATTAACGGTTCAAATTAAAATGAGGGGTGTAAGAGGTTAAAATAAGTGTAATAAAAATCTTACGCCAACTATTCCTGTCTTGTGTCAATCATATGCTATTGTGCGTAATTTTCTGTCTACTTGGTGGATTTACGGACACAAGGCCCGCGATGGCGGGTAAAATCGAGAGAAAAACTGGTGTCCACACAGACTTCTTGTTCTTGAAAGTTGAATCAATCAAAGAACAGGTAGATGTGAGAAACTGTCCTAGAATTCCGTAGATGTGAAAATTGTGAGGCTTGTTCATATACCTTTTTACCCTTCGGCCGATGACTCTTGAGAAAGCAAATGCAAATTCATGATCTTGTTGGACTAAGCCCAAAATGCGTATCACTATGATGGACTGTTGCTTATTTGTCCAGATCACAGTGCCTTCCATTTTGCAGTTGCGTTTAAATCTATTTCTCCATAGTTTACTGTATATATAGAGTATCACCTTGTCAAAATAATAATAATAATGCTTGCATTGGGGGAACAAGCTCATTCTTTTTAGGAAAAATTAGAATGTCTTACATCTTTTTTATATTTGTTAGATTAAACATTCATCTCTTTTAAAGATTTGATTAAGATGCCTTGATCAATTGTCACCTCAATAATTTTCTATTTATTTAATTTTCATGTCATTAATTTAAATGCATTTATATAGAGGCATAAGGTAGCTTAGCAACTAATTACCTATAATATAGGAATTTAATTTCATCAATCAACTTCTACGCATTAAATGAATTTTTTTTAATATAAAATAAAATAAAATAACTAATTCCTCATTACCTTATTATCAGTATTTAAAAAAAAAATCTCTTTCTATTAGAAATGTCTCAATAAAAAGTCTTCAATACATATTTTTTCACATATAGATATATAAAAAATATACTTAAAACTTATGGTACATTTGAGAACAAAAGTATTGACTTTTGGTACGTTTAGATTTTAAATGTACGGAGAAACCAAATATACCAAAAATTCAAATGTACCATAAAACCAAATGTACAAAAAATTCAAATGTACCATAAAACCAAATGTACCCATTGTTATGTAACCCTTTTGGTACGTTTCGATTTCAAATGTACAGAGAAACCAAATGTATCAAAATTTCAAATGTACCATAAAACCAAATATGCCCATTGTCAGGTAACCATTTTGGTACGTTTAGATTCCAAATGTACCAAAAGACCAAATGAACAAAAAATCACAAATGTACCACAAAACCAAATGTCTATATTAGATAACCTTTTTGGTATATTTACATTCCAAATATACTGAGAAATACAAAAAATCAAATCCATTATAAAACTGAATGTGTCCATATTATAGGTAACTAGACGTAGCTATATAATCAAACAAATCTTTATTATGTGCGGGGTCTTTTAAATAATAAAATCTGACAATTTTTTTTTGTTATAAAATCACAAAAAAAAGAGTAAAATTATAACAAACAATAAAAAAAAAATGCATAGAGGAGGATAATAAATGCATGAATATAGGGATAAGAGGAAAAGAAAAGAAAGAAAGAAAAAATACGAAATGTCCAGGAAAAGTTGTGAAAAACTAAAATTCTAAACAAAATTGAACTTATGTGAAAAACTGAAATTAATAACCAAAATTTTAGGAAAATGTTTGATCAAATTTTCAAAATGATTGTATGTTTAGTCAAAAAAATTAAAAAACGAGGTGCCTATATCAAAACGCCCCTTCTTTTTATTTGTAAATAATGTGTCTTTATCTTCATATGAAAATTGTCCTTATAAAAAATCATTTAAATCGGCAATTGTTTAATCATTTAAATGGGAATTGGATCCGTTCCAAATCTTAGTATCCGGAGCCTAGGGATCAATTCATCTAAACCATACAAATTCAATCCAATAGTCCCCATTAACACAAAACCAATGACTCTTATTTCTTTTACACACCAATTAGCGGTCTAGATGATCTAATCCCTAGGCTCCAGACATTAAGGTCCGTAGTGGATCCAATTCCATTTAAATGTATCATAACAAACCAACGGTATAGGTACCAAGTAACATATTTATGATGAACTGTTGATTTATTTGATACATTTGGATTACTAAACAATCTGAAATTCGAATAATTTTTTTGTAGGAATGATCTTCAAATAAAGATTAAGAGATTGAATGGTTCTAGTTATAAAATAATTTCGAAGATGACACGTTATTTGCAAGTAGGAGAAAGTGTTCATCCCCAAAGAAAGAAATCAACTAAGTACATCCCAATAATCATTTACGTAGTAATCTATACTAATTAATAAAACACTTATTGTCAATCAAAACATTATGAAATTACCAGTTTAACACTCTAATTAACACAGAACATGAATAAGAAATATATGGTAGAAATAAAATTTCACTCAACCAAATTCTGCTTTTTTTTTTTTTTTGTCAAAACCTCACTTACATGTAATCCTAACATACCTCTAATTAAAAAAAATTAAAAAATAAAAACTTCCCACCCCACATTCTCCATCACTCTCTTCCTCTCTCCTTCTATTTCAAAAACAAAAATAAAAAATTTTCTCACACACTTTACGTGTACCCATATTCTAGTATACAATGATGTTAACCCTAAGCATTGTCTAACAAAAAGTGCACGTAATATTAAATCAGTCATCACCAATGCTATGAATTCTGCTGGGCTGCCTAACTGACATCCACTAAACACACTTTTTCTTCTTCTAATCTTTTGTTTATTTCAAACTTTGTCAAGGGTAAATTATATTATACAAAAACTTATATTTTAGCTACAATTTACCGGAAAGAGATTCTCTCCTAATATCTTCCATCAATGCCACTAGATCAAATGATTTGGATCTTTAAAATTTCATCCAACGGTCAAAAATTATTATAGCTTTTAAAGAATCAAAACAAGTGGACCGTTAAATGAAATTTCAAAAGCCCGAATCACTTGATCCGATAACCTTAGTAGAAGAGATCTGGCAATTTACCCATTCATTAATTGTCTGATGTTTCTTACCAGCAAGCCTTCTCCAAAATAAATATTGGACCCCCAGAGAATTATGAATGCCATGTCATTGGGTGAACTCCACCATATGGTCCAAAGAATAGGAAGAGGATTCTCTCATGATTCTCTTTGTAAGAATCTCATAGATTCATAAATCATATCGGTTTATCGTACATTTTACGATTAGAAATTATTTTAAATATTTTTATTTAAAATTAAATAAAAACAGTACCTGACAAAAATTGACTGCACAATATACAATGAACGGACATGATTTACAAATCTCCATCATCCTCGCACAAAAAAATCATCCGGTTGGCAAAGAATATGGCTAGTGGTCCCCCATAAAATGCAAATAACTTACCATCATCATTTAATTGTGGTCCAAAGGCAATTGATCATTGTCCTATAAGAAGAAGCCACTCCATTTTAGTTTATTTTTATTTTTATTTTTTATTTTTTTTTGTTAATCTACTTTAGTGGTGACTGGAACTAATTTGACCAATCTTTTGCCATCTATGTGTGATGGCTTATCCTCCTCTTGTTTCAATGAAAAGGTTGTGTGAGTGTGATGTTCCAAGGCATTTTTGTTGATGGTGGAAACAACACACATTGGACCTCATAAGAAAGAAATATCCCAGTATCTCAAAATATGATGATAGTAGCTAATTATTGTTTATTTATCTTTAACTAAAATTGTTAGATTATAATTAGACCAAAATCAAAACTTAACTGTTGGAGACCAACACAACAATGCGTATCAAGTTAAAGATTGTGTTAGAGAATCAATAGACTCTAAACATTTAAGCTATTAGGAAACAAAACAAAAATGTACATCAACCTCACAAATAAAAGTACTATTTGTGAGAATGTGAAGGTAAAAGAATCTTACATTGGTGAAAGGATAAACTTTACAATGGTTTATAAGAGATTTGGCTAGTCCCTATATAGCCAATTGGTTTGGAACCTCAACTTTCGTTATGATATCAGAGTAGGTTGGCCCACGTGTGAAGTCCAACGACTATACGTGCTCCATGTCACCCAATTCGTGTTGTCCACATGTTTGGCTTGAAATTTCACCATACGTGAGAGGGCGTGTGAGAATGTGAAAGTAAAAGAGTCTCACATTGGCGAAAGGAAGAACCTTCCAAGGGCTTATAAGAGATTGAGTTACTCCCCATATAGCCCATTGGTCATTGGTTTTATTGTGGAAACTCAACTTCGTCGCTACTAAAATGAAAATGATACATATAACGTATTTAGTAGACTAGATTTCTATTAGTCGTGGACGAAGTTGTTAAATTAATTTTATTGGAGGTCATATGATTTTTATTTGATATTTATTGTTGAGTAAATGAATGGAACTTAGGACATCTTTAACCATTGACGAACTTGATTGCGTAGCATGTATACATATAGGCATCGTTCAATGCCCAATATTGAATTGGTTTAGATAACGTCAATGAAAAGAAATAAGTTTCCTTCATGACTAATTTATCTTCTACTTGCAATTTTACCCCCTCAAGTATGGGGTCAATTACAACCTCATACAATATCTTTAAAACATTTCAATTTCATACATTTAATTATATTTTCTTTTCAATTTCATACATCCGTTAAAAAATTCGTTAAGTTAATTGTTAAGTGATGATGTGGTAAATGTAGTATAATAAAAAAGAATTATTTAATCATTTTATATTATAATTAAAAACAAAAAAAAAGTGAAAAGGGGATTTGGACAATCACCTTCCTCTTCCTCTCC